GGAGTTTAGGACTGTTGTACATAGGGTCGCTATGAGTCGCAGGCGACTCGACGGTACATAACAACAACAACAACATATATGTGAGTCCTGATAAGCTACTAGAGTTAGTATTTGGACCCTTAAAGTTAGAAAAGACTACCCAAACAAAGAATTTACAGTCATGACATTCTGTGTTAGTTAGAATTCCGCCTAGTTTTAAGTACAAGATAAAAATGAACTGTAGTAAATAAAAATATTTAACTCTTACTAAAAAGATGGAGAAATACAGTCTAGTTCTAATATGGAAGTTCTGCTCCATAAATTCAGGGACACCCCTCCCAGCAGTTTGCTCCACCATTTTTAGAGCATAGTCTAAAGTGACATCTGTTTATAGGCAAAAGAACAGAGAATGAGACTGAGGGGCAAAAGATGCATTAGCCATCTTTAATGAAGTATCCACACACATTGCCAGAAAAAACTTAATTTCTCTTCCACCAACTATAACTAGGTGATATACCCATTCATAACCACATATGGTCATGTGTGCATGCGTGTGTGTGTGATTGTAGAAGGAGAGAATGGATTTTGAGGAACATGTAACAGTCTCTCACCTAGTATATTCTCTTGTCAGTAGAATGGACAAATAGTTAATGTAGTAGTGCAAATAGTTAGTGTACTCAGCTGCAAACTAAAAATTTGGAGGGTTAGCTTCACTAAGAGACATCTCAGAAATCCTTGTGATCTCCGAAAAATCAACCATTGAAATTTACCTTGGAGGAGAGAGTTCTACTCTGACATGTGAGTTGCCCTGAGTTAGACTTGATGACAACTTCTTTTATCAGTTAAAATGCTAATTTGATTGCTCTGACATTGGAACAAGAACTGAGTGCATGTAAGAAAGAAAGAATATCTTTTTTAAAGTACTATGTTAAATAGCAGTTTCCACTTCTCAACAAGCTTTCTACTCTTGTGCTTACTATAAAAAAGTGATTAAAAGTAGATCGTTTAAAACCACTTATACTAATATACTGTGAACTTTCCATCTGCTCCTGTGGACTTTTTGTCTTATTTCTTCCCTCTTCCTTTTCTTTTTTGTTAGTGATAGTGCAATTTTTCTATTCTAGTCTCTTCATGTTCTGTCCATCTCTCTAAATCTCCCAGTAGTCTTGGTACTGTTGCCTATTAAAAACTCCAAATGTATATGCCTTGTTGAAAGGATTCAGTTCATACCATTTAGGTTATATGTCCAGTCTGTTTCCTTTTCAGTCCTTTTTGCTATTACTTATAATACAAATATTTTGCAATAGCAAAAAATCTTTTTTTTATTTTTCATTGGGAATAATTTCTTCCTCTTCTTCTAAATTTTATAGCACTTTCTGTCTGCTGTGTGCTAAACTGTACTGCCATCATTTGTCTGCATATTTAACTTCCTGAATCATAAAGTCTCACCACATTGTAACTTCTGGGGGCAGTGGCACTGTTTTATGTGTCCACAGTGCTCAGCCTGTGCCTTATAAATAATTGATCCTCATTAAATATTTCTTATGTAAGTAAATAAATAATCTTGATGATTTCTCTGTTTTTGTAGAATTTTAGGAAAGGAAGATGGATCAACCTAGTGGGAGAAGTTTTATGCAAGTATTATGTGAAAAATACAGTCCTGAGAACTTTCCTTACCGCCGTGGTCCTGGGATGGGCGTTCATGTTCTAGCCACACCTCAGGGCTCCCCTATGAAAGGTAAGAAAGAAGGAGACAGACACCATTGATTTACAAACACTTGCTTAGGAATAGGAGCCCTGTACTGGTGCAGATGCTTAATCACCATATTGTAAAAATCTAGTCTGATTTTGGTAATTGCTTATCAGGCTGAAAGATTGATGGTTTGAGCCTATTCAGAGAAGATAGGCCTGACAATTTACTTCCTAAAGGTCAAAAAAACCAAACTAAACCCATTGCCGCCGAGTCAGTTAAGACTCAGTAATCCTCCGTTGGGTTTCTAAGACTGTAAATCTTTATGGGAGGAGACGGCCCATGTTTGCAGGGTGACCTGTAGACTCGAAAGGTGAACCTTCAGTTAGCAGAATGCACAGCGCCACTAAGAACTCCTTTCCAAAGGGTCAGAGACTTGAAGATCCTATGGAACAATTCTGCTGTGTGTCTTGGAGTCCTGTGACAGAAACTAATAACAAGTGTAACATGTACGGGGCTAAATTAAAATGTTACCTTGTTTCCAAATGATTATGTTTATTTTAAGTGATAAGGTTAGTAATCTTTCCTCCATATTGTGATTTTAGTTTTTTTAAAAGAAGCAGATGCTGACGTGGTTTGTTTTCCTCCATATTGGTCAAAGGACATTTTAGAAGTATTTACAAGGCAAGGATAATATTTGAGTGATAGTACATTATAGGGAGTTCTAATGGATTATTGGTAAGAAGTTGTACTGCCATCCCAAAAGCAGGTGGTTTGAATCCACCAGTTGCATCTTGGAAAAAAGATGGGCAGTTTCTTCCCATGTGATTTACTGCCTCTGAAAACCTGCTTTAGGGATTAGGTATGAGTCCATTGCAACTTGACAGTACAAAGTAACAATAGCAACTGGTGGCCTAGTCAGTAGAAAGTTGTATGGCCAACCCAAACGCAGGAGGTTTAGATCCACCTACTCCTTCTCAGGAGAAAGAGGAGCAGTCTCCTTCCATTTGATTTATAGACTCTGAAAACCAGCTGTAGACTCAGCTCTGAGTCGATTCTGACTGGCTGGCAATGTAGAGAGTTCTTCAAAGGAAAATGGAAGGTGCAAAGCATTAAAATCTGCCCTCTGCCCTCAGGGGCCTTCTAGCCTACTTGGATTACAAAATCTTAATAGTTACAAAGTTATAGTTGTTTCTATTGAGCCAAATGAATTTTACAGAACTTGAAGAAGAAATTTAGAAGAAAGTTAATGAATAGGTTCAGAAAAGAGTTTAAAAAAGGTGAACCTTGAACTAACCCGTCACGAATATTTTAAAACAAAACAAAACAAAACAATATTGTTAGGAAAGAGAAAAGGGATTCTAGGAGAGGGATATGATAGAAGCAAAAACCTGTAACTGGAAATGCACAAAATATGGGGTGTTTTTTTGTTTGTTTGTTTGATTCCCTTTCAGTTAAGTGTTATAATTTGTAATCTTGAGAAGTAGTTCTTTGTAGATATTTGGGATTAATATTAAGGCAAAGTTTAGTTTTTGTCCTGGCCTAAAAGCATTCAGTGTTTGTTATTTTTCATATACCTATCTCATTCCTCTGTGTAACCTGAAATACAAGCAGTGCCCTTTTTTGTGATTTGTTTTCCAGAATCTATTCCCATTCTGATAACTTTGATACTGAAAGATTCAAAATGGAAAACCCATATAATTTGAGACTTAGTTAATAAAATATTTTTATAAGTCCTTTTGTTATTAAAACAAAGTGGGAAAAGAGTGGTTAGATTCTGGTTTTCTCCTTTTTCTAGGAAATAATAAGATATTTTATTAGGACATGTATGTTTGAACCAGGCAGTCATCAGTTTGATCAAGTTCAAGGAATAGTTTTAACACTGTGAAACATGCTCATTTTATCCCATTACAGTTATTTTTTAAAATAAGCTAATTTTCATGAGGGGCAGATTCTACTTGGATTGAAATAGGAGATGAGAGATGCATAAGTATGCAAAAAAGAGATACAGAATGAACATGTTAAAGTGAGGAATATTTCTTGAATAATTTGAACCTGAAGAACAGAAGTAGTTTGGTAGATAGCCTATCTAACGGTCTGTAATAATTTTTAAAGCTACTAAGGTGAAGGTAAGCATCTGAAAATTATACTTTTGAACTAAATCCTTTAAAAGACTTGTTGCCACTTAGAAGGCAGTAGCAGTCCGGACATGACTTGTCATGAGTCTGACATTCAGATGATAACATGTTGATGATAAAATAGTGTGCATCGTGTTCAAATGATGGCTCTGTTGTTGGTAATTGATAAGCAGTCTGTCAGGAGTTCAAACTTAAAAGACTGGGGTGTTAATGGTCCAGTGCTTCTGATCAACTCTGGATCATACATAGTTTTGCTGTCTTCTCCCTAGAAGTCATTACTCTTAAATCTTACTAAATCCTCAATTTTTCAGATTCTTGCATAATTCTTTAGTCTGATTTGTGTTTCTTGATGATCTCTCAGAGGTGGATATATGTAGAAAAGACTTAGGCTGATGTAGAAAGTGTCATGTTTTCCCTGATTCAGATCGCCTCAACCTCCCAAGTGTTCTGGTGTTGAACAGCTGTGGAATAACCTGTGCAGGAGATGAAAAAGAAATTGCTGCCTTCTGTGCTCATGTTTCAGAACTAGATTTATCTGACAATAAGCTTGAAGACTGGAATGAGGTAAGGTTTTTATTGTGCTATGTTTTGACGAAATGCAGTAGTAACCACTGTATTATTGTTTGTGGTGGTCTTTTGACTATGTGGATCACAACAAACTGTGGCTAACACTGAGAAGAATGGGAATCCCAGAACACTTGATAGTGCTGATACGAAACCTATACTTAGATAACCAGGAGGCAGTTGTCAGAACAGAGCAAGGAAACACTGCATGGTTCAAAATTGGAAAGGCTGTACTTCAGTGATGTGTCCTATCTCTATACCTTTTCAATCTATATACAGAACAGATTATGTGGAAGGCTGGGTTCTGTGAGGGGAAATGTGGCATCAAGATTGGAAAACGACTCATCAACACACTGCGTTACACAGATGATGCATCCCTGCTTGCTGAAACTGAGGTGGACCTGAAGCGCTTACTGCAAAAGGTCAAGGACTACATCCTTCAATCTGGATTGAAGCTCAAGATCAAGAAAACAAAGATTCTCACCACTGGGCCAATTGACAGCATCATGATAGACTATGAAGAGACTAAGATTCTTCAGTTTGCTTGGCTCCACAGTCAACAGTCTTGGTACCAGAAAAGACGAATTGTGTTGGGAAAGTCTGTTGTCAGAAACCTCTCCAGTGTACTAAAGAGCAATGATGTCAGTCTGGAAACTAAGGTGCACCCGAATGGTCTTTGCAATTAATTTTATATGTGTCAGAAATCTAGACAGTGACTAGGGATGATAGAAGAAGAATTGATGCTTTTGAGCTGTGTGGTGCTGGAGGAGAGTACTGAATATACCATGGACTGCTAGGAGAACAAACAGGTTAATCCTAAAGAGGGTTAAACCAGACTTCTTCTTGGAGGCAAGGATTCTGAAGCTTCATCTGAAATACTTTGGACATGTTACAGGAAGGACTAGTCCTTGGAGAAGGACATCATGCTTAGGAGGGTAGAGGAACAGCGCAAGAGAGAAGACCCTTGATGAGATGGATTGATTCAGTGACTGGTGTAATGGAGGTAGGTGTGTCAGAGACAATAAGATTGAGGATAGAGCAAGGTTTAGGGCTGTTGTACGTCAGGTTACTATGAGTCGCAAGTGACTTGACAACACATACATAACAACAAAATATTCTGCTAAATTCTGGTTCTCACTTGAGATTCTTATCCATTTGTCCTTTGGTGAATGACTATCACTTTGATGATTTTTTTAGTTAGCTTTATTTTTGTTAATTTGTTTTCTTCAATGCAAAAAGCATTTGAGGAACTTTATGACAGGCATCGAGAAAACTGGACAATGACTAGGGATGATAGAAGGAGAATTGATGCCTTTGAGCCGTGGTGCTGGAGAAGAGTATTGAATATACTATGGACTGCTGAGAGAACAAATAGGCTCATCCTAGAGAGGGTTAAACCAGGCTTTTAAAACTTTTTACAGTGAATTGAATTTTATTCTTTATGAAAATTATATACATTATATGCTCATTATCTACTAATACTTCAGTATTTATTATTATAAACTGACATAAAACTGAGCTTAAAATTAAGATTATAAAAATATATTCTTAATTACTGAAATTTATTAATAATATTCTAGGCTTTTATTTTTATGTTAAATCCCTGTGGTGGTTTGAGATAAATTATGTCTTCTGACATCTTTGTAACTCTTTTTTTTTCCTCTAAATTTTTTTTAAAATTTTTTTAATTATTATTTTATTATTGTGTGTGTGTGTGTGTGTGTGTGTGTGTATGTACCGTCAAATCGGATCTGACTGGTACAGGAGAAGATTGTCCCTCCTTTCCCGGCAGAACATCTGGTGGATTTGAACCGTGCGCCTCTGGGATTGTGGTGCAGCTTCTTGCCACTAGGCCACCTGAGTTCCCCTGTCTTTGTAACTCTTATCCAAATAACGGAATTTTCTCTTGTTATTATTACATTATCTACCTCATTATAATGGTAGCTGATAAAAGATATCTCTAAGAATAAGAGAAGAATAGTTCTTTCTGCTTGGCTTATTCTCCTGCTTTCATTCTGACTCTTATTTTGTAGACTATTGGGAAATTTTTTCACTGTATTGTTCTGCCTTTTGATTTATTCTGCTTCCTCAAAGATGTCTTCCACAGTGTTATTAGATTCTTGTCAGTAAATGGAACATTAAGTATGTTACTTTACTGCTCAAAACCCTTCATTGGCTTTTCAGTACCTTGAAGAAGATCTGAACTCTTTATTATGGCCCTTCATCATATGATCCTTCGTCCTTTCTAAAGCTTTGTCTTTACCTTTAGCTTTATGCTTTTATTCATCATAAGTCTTTTACTCGTTCTGAATCCACTGCCCTTCCTCCCTTGTCTGTCTGGTCACTTCTAGTCATCCTTTAAGACTTGGCACACGTGGTTATTGTTCTGTGAGACTTTCCCTAGCTGACACACAGCAGTTTTCCTACTAGAGCATGAGCCTATTCAAAATATCTATTTTGTCTTGATCACTATCACCCATCATAGTTGTTGTTGTTGTTAGGTGCTGTGAGTCAAGTAGGACTCATAGTGACCCTATGAACAACAACAACAACATAAAGAACAAAAGATCTGAAGCCTGTGCCATCCTCACGCTTTCTGACATGCTAGAGCCCACTGCAGCCGTCACTGTGTCAGTCCACCTAGTTGAGGGTTTTTGTCTCCTTCACTGACCATCATTCCCAGCATATCTTAGTACTCATTCAAGTATTTGGTAAATTTATTAATGGATAAATGGTTCTATCTTTTTTAAAATTTTTTTAATTAATTTAACAAAAGTTTACTAAAAACTTGGATTTCCTTTTATTCATTGTTGTACATTTTCTTTCCTACCACCCCTTATACCCCAGTTTGTTCTTCTCTTTAAAAAGATTCTTTTGTTGTTCCACAATTTCCATCTTCCCCTCACACCCCAGTCCAATTAGCTTTACACCTTTTATTCTGGACCATTGTCATGCAAATAATACCTAATCACATATTCCTTTTAAACAGTTCATTCCCTGCTTCTCATCTATTTTAATCCAGTGTTCATTATTTATCCCCTCTTTTTTTTTTTTTTAGTTTTCCCCTAAACCCTGTATCAGGCTTGTTTTGTTATAGTGGCATTATGCAGTATTTGTCCTTTTGCTGACTGAGATATTTCACTCAGCATAATGTGCTTCAAGGTCAGATGGTTCTATCTTAAGGACTTATCAAGGTCACTTGTTCCAACTTTCCTGGTGATCTTCAGAAACTCAGTTAATCCTTTTGGTGCTTGAATTGTATTCATCCACAAAATAGAATTCTCATAAAAATTAATCATTGATACTCTTTGTAGATACTGTATGAATTCTAACAATTTTGTTATTGAAAGAAATAAATCTATACTTTTTTTCATTTTGTGTTTATCCATTGTATAGTCTTTTGGGTTTTGGGGTTTTTTTTTAGACACTTAATTGACATTCATATTCTGTGTACAAATATAGAAAAGAGGTGAAATATTGAGAAGTCTCCTTGAAATTGCTTTTAAAACTCTTAAAATATCATTTTTATTGTTGTTATTTCACCCATTAGTTTAAAAGTAAAATGGGGAACTGTGGCTAGGCATCACTTTTTAGGGATTTAAAAAATGTATTTAACTGAGTTTCTACTATAATTAGAAGTTATTCTTTATGCTTTACAGTACAATTTTACTACATCTTTTTTTGTTCTTAAGATGTGAGGCATAAATGAGCATCATCTGTATTAATATTCAGATAGCAGAATGCTATTTGGATGGATCTTTGTGTGGAAAATTTCATTTTATTGTGACCACAGACTAAACTCCAAATCCTTACCATCAGCATCTCTTGTCTGTGAAACCATTTGATCACAGAAAAGGTCAAGCAAGAGCATATGTACAGACTGGTATAAATTCCTTGTTGGTATTTGTGGTTGTTGGTAGTTACCATCGAGTTGAGTAGGACTCATAGTGACCCTATAAACAAAAGATCTGAACCCAGGCCTGTCCTGTGCCATCCTCACACTTCCTGACACACAGAATAGCCCATTGCAGCAGTCACCATGTCAGTTCACCTGGTTGAGTGTCTTCTTCTCCATCACTGACCCTCCACCCTTTCCAACATCATGTCCCTCTCCAGGGAATAGCACTTCCTAGCAATATATCCAAAGTATGAGAGGCAAAGCCTCATCATTCTTGCCTTCAAAGAGCATTCCAGCTGCACCCTCTCCAAGACATATCTGTTCATTCCCTTGGACGTTCATGGGATGTTCAGTGCTCTTCTCCAAGACCACAGCTCAAAGGCATCAAGTCTTTTTTTTGTTCAGGTCTCAGATGCATAGCTAGTAATTGGAAAGACTATGGCCTGAATCAGAAGCACCTTAGTCCTTAAAATGACATCACTATTCCTCAATAATTTGGAACAGATTGAATAGGTACTAAGAAGGTATTCAACACTGATACACAACATACTGTTAAACAAACAGACTTCAGAGCCTTGCTGTCAAGTCATCTACAACTTAAAGAATTCTGTAGGACAGTTTAACACTGCCTAAAAGAGTTTTTGAGGCTATAAATCCTTATAGATGCACACTACCATATCTTTTCACCAGCCAAGCAGTTAGTGGGTCTCAACAGCCAATCTCAGTTAAGCACTATTTTGCTAAATTTCTTTCCTGATCATATTAATGCATTACTTGTATTGAGTGATTTCTGTGCCATTAATATAGCTGATAAATATTAAGTGTCTAGTCAGTATTAGTGAACTAATTAAGTGCTATCCTTGCTTTCATAGTATATATTTTGTTGATAAAAAGACATTCCAAAAGGTATACTAATTACTGTAGTAAGTACTGTACACGTGTGTGACATTTAACCATACTTATAATACAGTAAAGTAAGTGATAACTATTATATAATAATTCTCCATGTTTTACAAAGGAAGAGACTGAGATTTGGATGTTTTAGTAGTTGTGGTATACTGGAAAGTACAATGACACTTATTTGTAAATTCCAGATTTGTTTGGGTTTTTTTAACTGTGAAACCTTGTGATTGGTTGTTGTTGTGTACCATCAAGTCGGAACTGACCTATATCTGACTTGACCTGTAGCTGACCCTCTGGCGGGGTTTCAGAGGTTGCTAATCACGTAGCAGCTGATGGATTCAAAATGCTTGCCTTTGGGATTGCAGCACAGTTTCTTAACTCTGGGCCACCAGAGCTCCCTTTTAGGCCTCAGTCAAATTTTTTAACATCTCTGCACTTCCAGTTTTCTCATTTTTTAAAATGAAAGTAGTGTTATCTTACAAGTCATTTTGATAATTTAATGGGGAAAGTGCTAGAAGCCTCTAATACTCATTTCCCTTTCCCCTCCTTACTCAGTTGCTAGCTAAATTGTTAAATTGATGATCATGTTTTCTCCTTCATTATTTAGTTATTGATCCTTTTAGTTAAGTAAAAGTATTTTAAAGTTACAACATATCTTTGGAACTTTAGGGAGCTTTGTTAGCATAGTCCATAGGGGGTTGTACTGCTAACCCAAAGGTGGTGCTCCTCTGGCAGTTTGAATCCACCAGTGACTCCTCTACTCATGCAGTTTGTAGCCTCCGGAAACCCACTGGAGAGTCAGCTCTGAGTTGGTTCCAACTAGACAACAATGAGAGAGCAAGACAACTTGAACCAAGCTGAAACTGTTTTCAGAGTGATTATGGCTAATCAGTGAGGTTTAAGCACATGAATTGTTATTCTGTGGTCTTCAATTTAATTAGTATTAATATTGGAAGAAAAGGTGATATTCAAAGAACTTCACAGAGCTCAGTCTCAGCTCCATAGGATGCTGTTGGCAAAAATGCCATCTACATAGCTTTTCCTCATTTATCAAAGAGCACATCATCATACAGAGCAGAATCAGAAGCATTGCTAAAAGCAACATAAGGAGTCTTTCTTTTATACTATTAACAGTTCTACTATTGTTTCATAAGGAGATTATTTGCCAAAACTTTGTGGAAAGTGCTTGTGCTTCATCTACCCCATGACCAAATGGAACTCCCTAATGTAAATAGTTCTCTGTCTGGAGATCTCCTTGTTTAGGCTTTCATGAGCCTGCTTGTCACTGGAAAGCTCTGATTATGTCTGATACGCTTTTCTTTTTTTCTCCTTAGGTCAGTAAAATTGTGTCAAATGTTCCTCAGTTGGAGTTTCTAAACCTGAGTTCCAATCCTCTGAATTTGTCAGTTTTAGAAAGAACGTGTGCTGGGTCCTTCTCTGGGGTTCGCAAACTTGTCCTCAACAACAGCAAAGCTTCCTGGGAGACAGTCCACACGATACTTCAGGAGTTACCAGAGTAAGCCCAGGCAGCATGATGGAGAGGGAGCTATACTGCCTTCTGTGTTATTACATAGAATTACTGCTGATCTCCCATCTCAGAAATACTAGACCTACAAATTGAATGGAGAGTGAGGTTAGAGAAATGAAGTCATGAGAGTGATGGTGTTAGCATAATCTAGTAGCATTTCCATTGGAATACTGTTCAAGGTGTTAAATGGCACCAAGATATAGGATTTATCATCTTTTGGCCAGAAAATACCCCTGAGAAGTATTTGTCACTTCTAGATCAAACCAGCCTTTCTCCATTTTAATCTTCTGATTACCTGATTTAAAAACTTTTCCTCACTGCCTTTTTCTTTAAAAGGGGGGAAAAATAGTTATCTCTAAAATATGTTAACACTTAGGTGATTAAATGTCTAGCTGGCCTGATGAAAAAAAATGAATATTTAATACTGTTTTCAATAATTTGAGCAAAACATTTTCTTTTCATATGTTATTTAAGAATGTTTTCTACATTTTGTTTATAGCTATTGGTGCATGTGCACATACTGTTCAAAGATGATATTTTAAAAGAAATATATTAAATTCTGGATTTTTTTTAGTTAGCTTTCTTTCCCACTATCTAATTATTTAGTCTCACCTTACTTATTCTAACTTAGTTCCTCATTTTCACCCTATTAAAGAATGGTTTCTGCACTGCATGCATTGTGTAGCATGACATAAAAGAAATTTTAAATTTCAGTTCCATTTACTAACCATATAATAACTATGTTATATAACTAACCATTTATTTACCATAGCTTGCCCTTGACAAGCTACTTAACATCTTGGTGATCAATTTCTTTGTCTATAAAATGGGAGTAATTCCATCTACTTTCTAGAAAGAAAAGTGAAATATCAAAGCACCTGGCTTATATCAGGGATTTAATAATTGGTAGTTACTGTTTCCATCTAAGTGTTCATATAGCTCTGGAATTTTCTTCTGTCTCCTCTCAACTTATTCAAGTTGACCACTCCTTAAAGGTCAAGGATCCTTTTCTGATCTAACCTCAACTTCAGTTTCATTCCTATCTGAACTGCTGTAGTTAGAATTGTTGCTGTTGTTTTTATGTGCTTTTGAGTTGGAACTCAGAGCTGCCCCTCCAGTGGGTTTTCAGAGACTGTACTTTTTCACAAGAGGAGATTGCCATCTTTCCTCCACAGAGCTGCTGGTGGATTCAAACCACCTGCAGTGCAACTTCTTATCCATGTTTCCAGAGCTCCCTGTACTTACAGTTGTTGTTTACAGATAGAACCAACTCATAGCAGAACCTCCAGTGGGTTTTCAGAGGAATATGAAATCACACAGGAGGAGATTGCCCATCTTCCTCTCTTGGAGTCCTGATGAATTTGAACCACCTTCCTTTTGATTGGCAATTAATGCTGCTTACATTATCACTCAACTATTTAAGCACAAAATTAATTTTTTTTGCCCATATCATTGTCTCCTGTTATATGTATTTTTATCTTCCCAGCTATACTTTAAGGTTGAGGAAGAAATCTTTGTTTCTTCTCTAACGTCTAGCCGGGATTCTCACATAGTAGGCACTTACTTATTAAATAAATAAGAGTAAGTATTCAGTAAATTACTAAAAATAAGTACAGAGTATAAATGTAACTGCTCTAAACAATGAAATATTTCCTTTTTTCTCTGCAGTTTGGAGGAGCTCTTCCTGTGCCTTAATGACTATGAAACAGTGTCTTGTCCTTCAATTTGCTGTCATTCTCTTAAGCTACTACATATAACAGACAATAACCTCCAAGATTGGACTGAAATACGGAAGTTGGGAGCTATGTTTCCTTCCCTGGATACCCTTGTCCTGGCAAACAATCATTTGAATGCTATTGAAGAGCCCAGTGATTCATTGGCAAGATTATTTCCTAATCTACGCTCCATCAGCCTTCATAAGTCAGGTTAGTACAGGCTTGTTCTCATTCTACATGCAAATTAATCGAAGTTTATGCATGAAAGAAAATGAAAATGTATTTCTTTCAGCCATATCTCTATCTTCCTATAGGATAACTTTCCAGTGACATTATGCAAATGCCTATTGGTTAGCTAAATTTAAAGCAATTTCAAAAATAATAAGTGTATAGCATTATTTAATATTTATAATTTATGTACTAGAAGGTCCATGCTCTGAAAGGAGTAAAATGAAACTGATGAATTGGATAATAAAAGATATCATAAAAAGGTTACAAATAATTACAAGCTAGAGCAAGCATTTTTATCTGGCTTCAGGTTGAGGAATCTCAGTCTCAGCTTTTTCAAATGCTCACCTTTTTTGTAATTTCATAGGAATGAATAGTTTCAGCATATTTCTTAAAACAACTTAAAAAACCCTTCAAACTTAACTGCTGTCAAAACAAAACTGCTCATCACTGACTTCAGTGGGTTCTCAGAGTCTGTAAATCACATGGGAGAGAGTGCCCATCTTTCTCATAGCTGAACTACCTGCCTTTGGGTTGGCAACCTCTTTACTCTGTAGACCACTGAAGCAACTATAAAATAGTGATTAACCTACTGCTGAAAAACCCATAGTTTAGTTTTACTTTTGCATAAAGAAGTTATTTCACAATTTCATACCTCTTCATCTAACTTTTTTTTTCCTTTCTCAGTGAAAATGTCATTCTGAAGGGAAGAACCAGATTACTCATAAATTGTTCCTTTGCTTTTTCTTTTGCAAAAAGCTGAAAGAAATAGGAATGGGCAATGTTGTATTCTGAAATAAATGTGTTGCAAAATTGACCATCTTCTTTATTACAAGTTCTTTTTCCTATGCCAAGTATTGATTTACATGACACATTTACTCACAATCATACAGAGAGTTTCATTTTAGAACTATAAAAATCTTCCTGTATTTGATGTTCAAGGTTCACATTTTTTTTGGTGTGTTTTTGTTTTAAATAGTGTTTTGAATTGGCTTTCCTGTCCTCAGATTGAGAACAATTTGAAAGAAAGATGACATTTAGTTCTGTTAACTTTGCCCCATCTTGGACTTTGTCAGGTAAAAATTGACAAGGACAGTATCAACTCCACGTATACTTGGAGATCTTGTGGCCTGTGGGAAGTAAACTATGCTGACAGTCCAAAGACAGATGGTTTGCATCTACCACCTCTCTGTGGAAGAAAGATAGGCACTCTCCCCCTTTGTGATTTTTACAGCCTTTGAAAACCTTTTTGAAGGTTCAAGTTAGGAGTCAATTTCAGCTTGATAGTAATGAGATATATATGTATGTATGTATATATATATATTATATATATATAGAGAGAGAGAGATATGGAAAGGGAAAGGAAAGGAAAGGAGGAAATAAATATTGTTGTGCTCTTGAGTCGGAACCAACCCATAGCTCGGTTTTCAGAGGCAGTTAATCTCACAGGAGATTGCCCATCCTTCTCCCGTGGAGCAACTGGTGAGTTTGAACCAGGTGCCTTCGGGATCACAGTACAGCTTCTTGCCACTAGAGCCCCCTAAAGATAGATACAGATCTAAATCTAAGCTACATCTCTGTCTGTCTCTGTCTCTGGGAGAAGGATAGGCAGTTTCCTCCCATTCAATTTACTGCCTTGAAAACCCATTGGAAGTTCAGCTGTGAGTCCTTTTCAACTTAATGACACACAAAAACATATAATTAAGTAGTTGAATGAAATTTGTTTGGCATATCACTTTATTATGTAGTGTTAGAATATCTACTTCATATTTGAACCATAAGTTACTATTTCTTCACATAATCTTTATGGAGAATAAGTAAATGAGTAGATACTGGAAAATAAGTTTACCTCTCTCTGATCACAGGAGAATAGGAAGATTTTTATGGTATTTTACTATATTCCATCCACTTCTCCCTTGTATACAGAAAAAATTCAAGCTGTGCAGCTTTAGTGTAAGATAGTTTTTAACATTTCAGAAATTATTAATTGAAAATTTTTTGTTTATCTTCTTATTTTATACTGTTGTAGCTTTATTTACACACTGTATTTCCCAAATTAGGTTTGCATTCCTGGGAAGATATTGACAAGTTAAATTCATTCCCCAAACTCGAAGAAGTAAGATTATTAGGAATTCCTCTTCTGCAGCCATATACCACTGAGGAGCGAAGGAAGTTGGTGGTAGCCAGGTCTGTTTTCTCCAGCTTTCTTTGTGTGACATCTTATTCTTTTCTTAAAGAGCCCTGGTGATGCATTGTTTAAACACTTGGCTATAAACAAAATTGTTAACTGTTTGAAAGTTCCTCTGTAAAAGCAAGCTACTGCAAATACTACAGTTTTGGAAATGCTTTGGGGCAGTTTTGCACTATCATAAAGGGTCATTATGACTCAATAAGAATGGGCAGAAGAAGAATTGATGTCTTTTAATTGTGATGTTGGAGAATATTACTGAGACTCCCATGGAGTATCAAAAGAACAAACAAATCTATCTTGGAGGAAGTACAATCAGGGTGTTTCTTAGAGGCAAGCATGATGAAACTCTGTCTCATGTACTTTGGATGTGTTGTTAGGAGGAGGCAGACACCATGCTGGAAGAAATGGAGGTTCAGAGAAAATATGAAGACTCTTGACAAAATGGATTGACTCAGTGACTGTGACAGTGGATTTGAGCGTATCAGAGATTGTGAGGGTAGGATAGAGCCAGGCTCTGATCTGTTGTTCATAGGGTTACTATAAGTTGTCATATAACAACAGCAATAATATGACTCAGAATTGACTACACGGCAGTGTTATTACCTCCTTAAAGTAATAATACACTGAGAGGAGTTCAAGATGAGTTTATCCACATCTCTAAAAGATTGTAACTGAAAGCTTTTCAGTACTTCAAACCGGGGTTGAAAAGGAAAGTAAAATGCTAAAAAAACAAAACAGTGAAATTGAATAGACCTTCTAAGACTTCTGAAACATTTCTTCACCTCTATTTCATTTTTATACATTTTGATACTGACAGTATTTGAAGTCCCAATTGGGTCATGAAGAAAAGTAAGTGTAAATATGGAATTAGTTATGTTTCCATTCCCGTCATTCTCTCTGTTAACATAACCTGCAGCGGCAACAATACAATCAGTTTCCATTGAGTTCATTTTGATTCATAGAGACTCCTTGAACATGAGCAGAACTGTACACCATAGCATTTGAAGTGGCTGAATTTTCTGAAGCACATCAGCAGCTCGCTCTTCTGCTGTTTGCGCTTGAACTTCCAACGTCCTGGGTTTAGCCAAGTCCATTAACCATTTGCACCACCTAGGTACTCCAAAGGCAATAAACAATAAGGGTTTGCTTAGACATTGTAATGAATTAATCAGCTATAATTAATGTTATAAAACAGAGTATATGAATGATTGGCTAAAAATGCTATATGATTTATAACCTTTAACGGAAAAGTTTTTAAATAAAAAAACTACAAAACTACAGTAATAAGAAAATAAATTGTTGTTGTTATGTGCCGTCGAGTCACCCCCATAATGACCCTATGTACAGCAGCCCTATACCCTGATCAATCTTGTGCCACTCACACTGTCTCTGAGACACCTACCCTGATTACCCCAGTCACTGAATCAGTCTACTTCATAGAGGGTCTTCCTCTCCTGTGCTGTCCCTCCACCCTCCCAAGCAAGACGACCCTCTCCAAGGATTGGTCTTTCCTTGGACCATATCCGAAATATGTCAGGTGAATGAACCCTCAGAATCCTTGCCTCCAAGGAGCAGCCTGGTTAAAACCTCTCTAGGATGAACTTGTTTGTTTTCTTAGCAGTCCATGATACATTCAATACTCTTCCCCAGCAGCACAGCTCAAAGGCATCAGTTCTCCTTCTGTCATACCTAGTCATTGTCCAGCTGTCTGATGCATAGCAAGTGATTGCATAGACCGTGGTCTATATCAGGCACACCTTAGTCTCCACAGTGACATCATTGCTCTTCAGTACTTTGGAGAAGTCTCTAACAGTAGACTTTCCCATCGCGATACATCTTTTCATTTCCTGGCTGCTGGTGCCCAGACTGTTGATTGTGGAGCCAAGCAAACTAAAGCTTTTAACAGTCCCAATCTCTTCACCATCCATCATGATGCTGCCAATTGGCCCAGTGGTGAGAATCTTTGTTTTCTTGATATTGAGCCTCAGTCCATAAGAAATAAATTGTAATTACCTTTAAATGAAATTACTACTTAGTGGAAAATGTAAGGAGTCAGTATCTGTCCTTCTTGAATGTAGATTGAGTTAAGTATGGCTGTCACTCTTGTTAACTTTCTCTGCTGTTCTGGCTCAGTTTCCTCCTTCCCATAGACCACAGAAATGTCCCACAGGTGTTTAGGAGGGGTTTGGGGTTTTTTTTACAGCAATACTCTGGTAGCTGTAAGAGTCATGGGAAAGCAATTTGTTCTCTGTACTGCATGTAATAGTTTTGGAAAGGGAACAATCGATTTTCAAATTCTCTAAAGGAAGAGTGGTTCTTTAAATAGTGTACTGATAGGCTGACTATCTAATGCCTTGCAGATTTTTAATACTTAACAGTTGTTGCATACATATTAATATCTCACTGAAGAAATGTCACAATACTTGCTTCCAAGTCTTAACGCTAGACCTTTTATTTTAGTTTTGTTATATATAATTCTTTTGAAAATATTTTAATTAATTTTAAATTTAATCAAAATTTACTGACTGCTCTCTAGACTTGTGCTGTTTAGCATGGAAGTTGCTAGTCTTGTGTGACTGTTGACCACTTGAAATCTGTGCTGTAACTATAAGATGTAAGCTAGGCTTTATACATTCTGCATGAAAGATCTAATTATTTTTAATACTGATTATCTATTGAAATAACCAAATTCTGTAGAATAATATGTTTTCATAATTTAATACCACCTTTTTTACTTTTTATTTTTTTAAATAAGCTGTGCTAACATGGTGAGTTTTTACTCTAAAAGTCTGTATCATATTTTTAAAAATGAAGCTTTAGCTTTTTTTAATTCTTTCATGTCATTTTAGTTCTTGCTAGTTGTTGAACATAAAACTACTACAGCAAATGTAATCACATTGAGACCATAAGTCTATACCTCAAAAAAGTATAGTTTTTTTTCAATATCTAAATAGAAATATTTTTATGCTTTGATAATGTCTTTGTTTTTATTTTGATTTACAGATTACCATCAGTTTCCAAACTGAATGGCAGCGTAGTTACTGATGGTGAGCGAGAAGATTCTGAGAGATTTTTTATTCGTTACTATGTCGATGTTCCACAGGAAGAAGTGCCATTCAGGTAAAAATCCCTCATCAAATTGGCAAAATGCTTTAGAGAGGTTTTGAGGCGGCTTAAGAACTGGTTGTTTTAAAGTAAAATCTAATAGTTTGTTATTGGATTCTGCTTCTAGGACTTGGATAATAGGGTTTAAAAAAAAAAAAGAGAAGCAACACAAAAGCAAGCCTGTTTTATCTTGTTTTTCACGGTGTATTTCTTCCAGCCTTGCACTTAAGAATGGCTGAGTATTTGACTTCTCTCAGCACTTTCCTCTGTGTAGCACTGATACCTTCTCACTCATTCTTCAAATCAGTCTCTCTTCTTATGTACATCTACTTTTTGGCTTCTAGTAAGGTGTTCAGTTTTGGAGATCTGGAAAATGCATGATTTAGAGAATATGAGAAAATGGCTAGAAAATATGTTTTTGATAATATATTAAAGGAATCTTTCTCTCATGGAGCCATTGGTAGATTTGAACCACCAGAGAGAAACTGTCTTTACTTAGCATACATCTCTCCATGGATTAGAACACCACCAAGACCTCTCTTTTGTTGCCTAAGCATGTGTAAAATATTAGACAAATTAAGATAGGCATTTGAAAATAATCATTAAAAATTAGCTAAGTCCAGCCAGGTAGTGAGAAACTGATAATACAAAACCTTTTGGCACAACCCAGGAAAATGAGATTAAACTGTATCAAATTTGGAAGCAGAAGTGGCATGCACTTCCTAAATAACTTGCCTGTGGAAACTCTCTGAACTTTGATCATGTTGATAGTTGTAGAGGGGCTTCAGGCCTTCTGTTCATAGGGTTGCTATGAGTTGTGCTTGACTCAAAGGCGGTCAACAACAACACACAAATTATTGTGGGTTTTTTCCCCATAAAAATAATATACTATTATAACTTCTATTAGCCAATTGAACATAAAAGCTGAAGACTATGACAAGTCTAACCTTCAGCAAAAGTCTCTCAGTTTACTTAATTTTTCCAGTCTACTGCAAGAAATAATTTCTGTATAGACAGTAAATGGTTTTCTGTTCTTGATTGTAAGATTATCCTAAAGTACATTTGTCAATCTATATTTACATCTTGAATGAAAATACTATAAATCAGCCTTGATTCGGTTCAGTCAGGAAAAGAACTTGTTGGAAGGATATGAGGAAGTGGGAAAGTTGTTAGGCAGACTAGAGAACAAGAGTTAGGTAAGACATAGGGGAGGTAAGAATAGCCAGTTTTTCAATTAAGTCTGTTTCATCGATTGCTGCTGCAGCATCATCTCTAGACACTTCAAAGCCAGGTTTTACCACTGGACACTTGCACGTGCGGATTTTACTTAGATACTTTTTCCATGTAAGTGCTGAAAATAATCTCTCAGTGATCTTTGCTTCCCACTCTAAGAGGCAAAATCTTTGTGGAACCAATTGAGTCACTGTGTTCAGAACATGTTCTCACATTTGTCTCCAAAGAGATAGAGAATTTTGCTGCACGTTAGTTTCTATACCAGGAGATCGAATGTTGCTTTCCTTGATCTTGCAATCCTCCCCCAGTTAGGAAGTAGCTCAGCAAAAATAGTATCGACTATGATATTTCTGCCATTTGGACTATGAAGATGATCAGATATTCATCTTTTACTTATAGTTAAGTTTCTAAAAAAATCTATTCCATCCTTGTCTAGTCAAGTGAAGACACATTTACTTGATTCCTGAAATAAGGGAAATCTGTATTGTGTAATGTGTAGTTGACACAACTTGCTTATAGAAAATAATAAAGACTTGAAGTACTATTATAGAAGAGGAAAGACTGCAGCCTTCAAAATGGGTTACAGCTCAACATCAAGAAAAAAAAAACTCGCCTCTGGACCAAAAGGCAGCATCCTGATTGATAGAGAAGAGATTGAAGTGAGTTATTTTATCTTCCTTGCATCTATGGACAATACTCATTAAAGTAGCAGTCAAGAAATCAAAAGACATGGTGCACAAGGGAAGTTTGCTATCAAGGACTTATTCAAAGTTCTAAAGAACAGAGATGTTAGTTTCAACATTAAGGTATGATTGATCCAGCCATGGTGTTTTTCAGTTGCCTTCAATGCTACTGAATTTTGGATGATTAATAAGAATGACCAAAGAAGAATCAATGTCTTTGAATTGTGGTGTTACTAAAGAGAATATCTTATGGATTGCTGAAAGAACAAGCCAATGGGTCTTGAAGGAAGTGAAATCAGAGTGCTTGTTAGAAGCAAGGATAGTGAAACTTTATCTCACTTACTTTGGGCATATTTTCAGGATTTCATATTTCAGGCATAGTTCAGTCCTTGGAAAGAGATAACACTCTGGGAAGACCCTCTGTAAGATACACTGACACAGTGACTACCATAATGGGTTTGAGCAGCTCAGAGATCATGAGGATGATGCAGTAATTCTAGCAACCTTTTTTATTTCTGCTAACTTCTTCTTTTTTTATTATTAT